TAGATGTTTTTGGATGACTGACTATTCGTGATACATAAAATTTTAAAACTATCAACAGCTGCTTAAGTCAGCCTGGCGAAACCATTGAAGGCGTTCTACGCACCTTACCTGAAGAGGGGCAAGCGGGCCTCAATTTCACTTACGAACTAAAGCCTTCAGAGGCAGCAAATGCACGATAACTCTGTGATGTTTGAGTTCCCACATCAATAGCTCCTGTTAAACAGTGTGATCTAATCAATACAATATTTTTACGGTATTACGAACGTCGGTTAAAAACGTGCAGCGTCCATCTAGGTGAGGCTTTTGGCTTCTTTTGACAGAAAAATAACTTAATGAAAGCAGTAACATGGACAGATCGTTCAAAACTTATCGCTGGGAAAATTATGGAAAAACTGCGTCAAAAAATCACAATTAGGGGAAATATAGCTAGTACGTACTGTGGGACCCATGATGCCGGGGGCACCGGGCGGTCCAGCGGGACCGATCGGTCCAGGTCTTCCACGCGGACCAATTTCACCTTGCGGTCCGACTGGACCGATGTTACCCTGAAGGGGAGACAAAAAGTGAATAATATTCTTCCAATGTGTGTGTCTTCGTAAAATTTATATAATTCTGAGGGAAAATGCCTTGAATTCATACAATTTACTGTTCTCTTTTGTCCAAAAGTTGAAGGCGTAATTTTCTACCAAACGAGCACAAAAAATAATTTTTTCGTATATGTTTTCCATAACATATATTTGAATTTATAAGGGCAGTCAGAATCAGTGACGAAAATTTATACTACTTAAGTAGCCGTGTTTTACAGTACATACTCTTTGTTAGAGGTCAGAAAGAAGCTCGTTAAAAAGCCGAAATCCTGTCGTGACTGAAATGACCTGAGAATAGATTACATGATAATCAGTATTACAAACTAAATCAATGCCGATTAGCAAGTGAACATCAATCTATCGCAAGCGTCCGCATGTTGCACAAATTCTGAGCCGTACTCTATGTATTTTACATTTATTTCAATGGCCATACATATTCAGATAGATTTTTTAGAAATCTAGTCTGTACTCCTTTGGCAACAAATCATTTCCCCTTCAAATCAAATACTCAAACGAGAGCTCTCTTTTGGTTTTAAAAAGAGTTTTTAGCATCGCATCCACCCGATTCTTAATACCTCTCATAAAATAAACAACATGGTCCACCTCCATTGCGACTTATGTATCGACACTACTTAGGAGTTTCCAAATGACATGCGGGAATACATTATTTCCTTCACATAGAAGGCATACAGGTTGTAGGCTGTAAACCGCAAACGCAAGTACAACGACAGGTCTGCTGAATATTATTCGGAAATTGGATTCAAGTACATAGGACGAACGCAAAGGCAATTGGCAGCCAGAGCCAATGAGCACTTGCCTATTTGGCTATTCAAACAGGAAAATCAAACCCCTCCTTCTTCAATTAAAGAACACTTGCTAGATACAGATCATGCTGTGGACCACAAAACTTCCTTCCGAATACTTGTTCCAGCACGAACAACTCGTACATTGCGCTACCTAGAGGCAGCCTATTTAAGGTGGTCTACACCTGACCTATGTAAACAGTTGCAGCATGTGATTAACCTAGCCTTGTCTTGGTAACATCCGGCTGCCAGATTTACATAGTCCAGTGCCCACCTTCTCGCCTTAACTCCTTTTCTTCTGTTTCTCTTCCCACCTTGTTTTTACTCCCTTACTTTATTAAATACTCTTCGTGAGCGTGCCCCATGACCTTTTTGACTTTTCTATACCAATTCAATTTCTTATTTTTCTCATTCGTTACTCCTATAATGCAATGGAGTGGGCGCAGCTGAAGAGTTCTCCCGAAATTTCATGGATCCAATAAATCCTGCTGTCTTCGCCATCTACAACTTTGCACCTGGAAAATTTTGCTTCAAACTGGAAAACCTTTTGAGACCCTAAACATAGTCTTCATTTGAGTAAAATAATTGGAGGAAATGTGAGTTGCTATCAAAGGAGTACAAGAAAAGGTATTTTAGCTTCTAGTTTACAAGAAATGCAGTTTAATTTATAAGGGCATCGATGCCCAATACCAGAGAGTTACACAATTAAAGTAGGCCCTTTCACAGGCAGCCGAAAAGGCCTGCATTCAAAAACCGGCATCCTGGGATGTCCAAAATATCCTGGAATTAGGCTGCA